AGTTCTTCATAGTATCCTGATATTATCCTTTTTATTTCAGTTGGTTCTGTTGTAATGTTACCCATTTCGTTTCTTATTCGTGTTACTTGTATTTTCTCCCTCTTTTCCTTTGTTAAATTTGCCATTGGCTTGTCAATTTTATTAATCTTTTCCAAAAACCAACTTCTAGTCTTATTGATTTTTTCTATTGTCTTACTATTTTCTGTTTCATTGATTTCTGCTTGAATCTTTATTATTTCCTTTCTTCTGGTGACTGTGGGCTTTTCTTGCTGTTCTTTTTCTAATTGTTGGAGATGTTGGATTAAAGTGTTGATTTTTGCTCTTTCTTCTTTGTTGATCAAAGCTGTAACTTTTACAGAAGCAGTCTTCCACATCTTTTTCCCCTAGAGCGCTGCATGGGTTCCAGCTGCCCATCTTTTGGTTAGCTGCAGAGCACTTAACCACTGTGTCATTTCCTCTATTCCTGACTCTGTGCCTTCCTCTGTTGCTCCAGGTGGATAGAGACCAATTGCACCTTGGATCACTGTTTCTGGCAACTGGTTTTTAATAAGAGTTTCCTTCTAAAAATCTATTACAATTAAAAGTGTGGGTTAATCTGAAGAAAAGTAATAACAAAGAGTGTCAAAAATTCTGTTTTGACTGACGTTTGGTACACACAAACGGTTTAACCTGCTTCATGTCGTATGGATGGAAACGCTGTCAAATTAAGGAAAGGATTGATTCTTGGAGCATGGGTGCAGGTTTGGGTTTTTTGGCTACAAACAAGAAGAAACCAACTCTGATAATCTATCAAAAAGAAAAAGTTAACAAAAGATTGCAGAATTGAAGGCCGCCAGGAACAATCCAGCTTTGGGAGGAGTAGTTTCAGCAGCAACAATAGGTGGCAGGCCCCTGATCTCAGCTCTGGGTCGCTGGAATGCCAATCTCCCACGAAAGAGACTGTGATAGGCCCACCGAGTCACGTGAAAAGGACAAGCTTATGATTGGCTATCACGGGAGCTCCACAGGCTTGTGCAGCAGGAGTGCAAGAGACTGGGGCAGTAGAGTGGGGGATGCCTGGTAAAAAAGTAGCAATGTCTTCTGCGAGGCTCTGCCCTCTTTATATTCAGATCAAATGCTCCTTCCGTGACTAGTTTTAATAAAGATTTGAGTTACGCCTACCCCTATGGTCTCTGCCTCCCAGTCCCTTCAGGCGCCTGAGTTTGGGCTGTTTTCTCTGGCTAGAGGAGGGCTGGAGTTCAGCAGTGTTGTTGTTAGTTGCAGTCTGTTGTTGTTATGTGCCCTGGAGTCAGACCTGACTCATAGCAACCCCTCCTTGGGTTTCCTAGGTGGTATCACTAGGGAAGTAGATTGCTCAACCTTCCTTCCCAGGAGTGGCTGATGGGGTTGAACCACCAGTCTTCTGGTTAGCAGTCAAGTGCCTTAGGCACTATGCCACCAGAGCTCCTCGTTGCTGTCTAGTCAGTTCTGACCCATGTGTGCAGAGTAGAACTGCTCCATAGCTTTTTCAAGGCTGAGACTTTCCAGAGCAGATCACTAGGACTCTCTTCCGAGGGACCTATGTGTGGGTTCGAACCACCAACCTTTCAGCCTATAGTCCTCCACAGAACCATTTGTGCCACCCAAAGATTCCATGACCAGGAAGGGGAAGCCAAAGTCACACTGCTTTGTATTTTCTCCCTCTTTTCCTTTGTTAAATTTGCCAGTGGCTTGTCAATTTTATTAATCTTTTCCAAAAACCAACTTCTAGTCTTACTGATTTTTTTCTATTGTCTTACTATTTTCTGTTTCATTGATTTCTGCATTTGACTACCAACGAGACAGTTGGCGGTTCAGACCCACCAGCCACTCCGTGGAAGGAAGATAGGGCAATCTACTTAAAGATTTACCGCGAAAACTCAGGGGGGTTTCCTATGAGTCAAAATCGACTCCATGGCAGTGGGTTTGGTTTTGGTTTCAGGGCCAGAAGGGCAGCTGGAGAGCCAAGGGACTCTGAGGACTTCGGTTGCCAGGACACACCCCAACCAGGAGCAGCATGGACCATAGTGTGGAGGCTGCCGCAGCCCCAGCTGTGCCTCAGGAGTTGCTGGAAGAAATGCTTTGGGTTTTTCGAGTAGAAGATGGTAAGTGGCAGGAGATTTGGGGTGGGGTGTGGGGGTGGGGGTAAATGCTCAACACCAAGAGCAGAATTTGGCTGGAGCCCCCTGACACGGGCCTTTTCTTCCCTGGTAGGCTGCACATTCCTCCCTGGTGGGTGCTGAGGCTGGGCATTCCAGTACCCAGAGGGATCTGGCACATAGTGGGGGTCCGTAATAGGATGTGGAACCATATTGCACCCTCTTCCTCTCAGGGTGTGGTCATTCATTTACTCATCCATCCAGTCATTCAACAAATGTTGGTTCAGCTCCTACTATGCTTCAGACATTGTTCTTGGCACTGGGGTTACAGTAATGAATAAAACACAAAAATCTTTGCCCTGGTGGAATGTATATTATTATGGAAGAGACAGAAAATAAACAGAATAACTAAAATGCAAAGAGTGTTGGTGATAAGTAATAAGAAGAAAAATTAAGAAGGGGAATGAGAAGTGTATGGCCAGAGTGGAGCCATTTGAAATGTTGGATAATGAGGTGGAGTAAGGTCCAAACAAGGTGACATTTGAATAAAGACTTGCAGGGAGTGAAGGAATTGCCCTGCAGATTGCCTGAGGAAGAATACTGCAGGCAGAAGAGCAAATGCAAAAGCTCAGAGGCTGTATGGTGCCTCATTTCGGTATAAGAAGGACTAATCTTGACCATTCAATCAAATTAGCCACTTTATGTATTGTCTGTCACCAGGTGTTAAAGTCAGTTTAACTTCCTCCCTTCCTTTCCCAAACCACACAAGGCCAGGCCAGCCTCTGGCAAAAGTGAAGGTTGTGCAGTTGGTCTTGGCCAACCTCTTTTCCTGCATATTTTTCCTCCCTGCTACGTGTCTTCCTCCCCTTTAGATCAGGACTTCTCAAGAACAGAGTATGTCATCTTGTCATTACCACCCCTTTTCAGAATAGCGGTTCCCCCAGGACGGGGGGGAAGGGGGGTTTTATCCTCTCCACACAGCAACCAGTCCACAGCAGAGGGCAATTGATGCTGTGAGCTCGGTCTGAACCCAAGCCCCAACTCTTAGTGGGTCTGCAAGGCACCTGGCCCCTCCCTCAAAGCTGTCTTGTGTGCACCTCCCCAGCATCTCCTTGGAATTCTGCCATTCTTACCCTGGCCTCCATTGTGATTGTGATAAGCATCGTCCTTCTGGTAAGGAGTATCCAGGCAAACAGGTGAGGCACTGGTCTGGGGGTGGCCTCTGGAGGGTGGGGGTCCTCTTTTTTCAGAGAGCATCTGTGACTCTGCCGGGGCAGGGGTCACCTCAAGGCTTTGACTGCCCGCCCCCTGATTCAGCACAATGCAGCCTTTAGGGCCCTTTCAGGGAAGCTGTTGAAAAAGCCAGCAGACAGGGCAGGGGCTGGTGTGCCTCAGAGGTTATGACTTCTGGTCACACTGACCTGGTTCAGATCCCAACTCTGCCATTCACTAGGGAGGCAAGTCATTCAATATCTCTGAACCCACCGTTTCTTCTATAAATGGCAGCAATAAAGAGGTCCTCCTAGGATTGTGGTGAATGCTAAGTAAATGGTGGCTATTGCAGAGTTAGGAATGATATTAAAGGAGGAAGCCTTACCCTGCTTCAAGGTCAAATCCAGGGTCAGACAGAGACCTGAGATCAGCTGGGGCTCCTGGGATGTTTTTTTAACACTGTCATGCAACAGTATTCCTTAACCCTAGATGCACCACAAAATCACTTAAGGAAAAATATTAAAAATACAGAATTCTGGACCTCACTTTGGTTCTGACTTAAGGGATCTGAGGCAGGATGATTTTGATGTGCAGCCAGGGCTAATATGAGATCAAGTTACCAGGGATCACATCTGACTGACTTTGTTTCCCCATGCAACCAGGAAGTCTAAGGGTATCATGAACAAAACCAAGTTGGGGGAATAGAATTGGGAGAGTTCTTGGAAGGAAGGCTGGAGATGTAATGAACAAGATCATGCAGGGTCTTGAATGCCAGGTGGGCAGTGGGGAGCCACTGAAGGTACTTGAGCTGGGAAGCGATATGTGCTCACATCATGACTGGTGTGGGTAGGCTGGTTTGGGGAAGTAAGCAAAGAGATTCATTAGGAATTTCTGTTTGAGGGATGAGGTGGTATAAGGGTGGGGATGGGGTGTGAGGTGTGGAATGGCCAGGACCTGCACTAAATAGGATGACCGTCCTCGGGTCAGAGAGTGCGGTTTGTTGGAAAGAACAGAGGATTCAGAGTCAAGAGAGCTAAGTGCACATCCCAGGAATGAGCCACGTTTTCTCACCTGGAAAGGGAAAGGGATGGCAGTAATAGTTAAGGTCACAGACAGTGGTGAGAGCTCAGCGAGACATTGCATGTAGGGGTGTGAGCCCTTTCTCTGCTGAAGAAGCCGAAGGAACATCAAACCGTCTAGGCTTCTCCCCAGTACTCTCAGAACAGCCTACAGGATTTTCCCTTCTAGCTCTCTAAGCCATTTGGGAAACCCCAGTCCTGCCCTAACCACTCAGTATCCCAGCTTAGGAGGCTCTCATTCCAAAGTGTTTCTTTCCTCTCTTCCCAGAAATCAAAAGATGCTGCCCCCGGAGGAACAAATTCCAGAAGTCCTGTATTTGGCCGAGGCCAGAAACAAAGATGACAACAGCACGAACACTCAAAGAGAGACTTTGCTCTCAGAAAAGCCAGACTTGGCCCAAGTGGAAACTGAATTAAAAGAGAGTACTGTCCCATCGGCTCTCCTTCCAGACCCACTAGGATCTGAGAGCTAGTGAGAGTTCAGAGCAGTATCCACCCCTGGCCTGGGCCCCAGTCAGGCTCACTGGCCTGAAACCGCTCAGGTTTTGCAGGATCTCTCAAACAGCCTTATTTTGTTGCTATTGTTAGCTGATAAAATGAATGCACTACGATTAAAAATTGTTATTAAAAAAAAAAAAACCTTTATTGAAAATGCTTTTGGAAGTGGGCAGCTGGAATTGCATAGCTTGTTCACACAGCAGTGGTCCACCACACAAGTGGCTTGGAGCAAAAGTGCAAATCTGTAGTGGGCCTTGGGGGGTCTGGAAGCTTGGCCAGGATTCTCAGCACAAGGTCTTGAGTAGTTCACAGCCTCCCCCTGCTCTCAGCTTCTCTACCCAATGGAGCTAGAGGCTGGGTTAGCGCTACTGTTTTCAAACCAAGCTCCTGGGATGGCTGACAGGGAAAGGAGCAGGATTCTGGATTCAGAATCCCCTTCTCATCCTGTCCACCCAACAAAGCCCTCTCCTTTACCTGCTTATGTGCTGAGCGTCCAAGAAAGACCTCCTTTGGGCCACGGGCCCTGTGGTAAACAATTAAAAAAAAAAAACAGAATTTCCTGACTCTGAGTCCCTTTTCTAAGACCTTTCTAACAGTGGGATCCCAACTCTCATCAGTGTCCAAGAGAATATCCTGATCCCGTGATCCCGTGTCTTAGCCACTATGTTTTGGTATAAAGCTGTGGTGGCAACACCAATAATTTATGCAAAAGTTTGCTTTATTAACCAAAAACACGTTAGGTTCTATCTTACAAAAATGGCCTTTGAATATTCAGACCCATTGCTGAGGGTACTGGGTCCTGCCAGATCAGACTACCAAAAAAACAAACCAAACCCACTGCCACTGAGCCGATTCTGACTCATAGCTACAGAACAGAACTGCCCCATAGGGCTTCCAAGGCTGTAAATCTCTGTGGAGGCAGACTACCACATCTTTCTCCAGCTGAATGGCAGGTAGGTTAAGGTTTTAACTGCACAACCAGGGCTCCTTTAGACCAGACTACAATTTATACATTGTGTTTCTCCCCATGAGCCTGGGGCATGCTAAGAGTACTGGTTGGGTAGCATGTGATATTGCCAGTTGTGGGCACCCTGGAGCCCTGGGTGATTGTCACAGAAGAGAACGACTTTGTTCTGCAGTTTTGATCATTAAATGTGAGGAGGATGATCCCGAGGATCTGTGCACAGAGTCCCTAATGGTGGGAGAACAGGGGGGCCCTGCCTGCTAGTATAACCAACCTTGGGGCCTCCATACACTGGACAACCTATAGTCTTCCCTTCTACTCTTGCTGAGGAGAGGCAAAGTGCATTAATAACCCTTCTTGAGACTTCTTCCTATAAGATTATGTTAACTAGATTTCACCTGGAAAAACTGTGGGGTTTCTTGGCCATAGGCCTTGCCCAGGGCTTCTCTGAGGTGAGAAGACAATGGGAGGGTCAGGCTCTGGCCTCCAAACCTGCAGCCGCCCTTCTCTTCATGTCCACCAGGTGGCACTAGGACCTCAGAGCTGTCTCTCCTGTAGGCTGTTCTTAGATCTACACTTTTGCAGGGCCTCCTGGAGCTGTCCATATCTGGCCCAGCTGTTTCTGGAGCAGAGAAGGGTTGGTGAAACCAGGCTAGACATTGCAGTTTCTAGGCTGTCACAGTGGCTGTTTCCCTGCAGTATTACCATGGAGTCTAGGGCCTGGAGGCAACAGGAGCAACTTCCCTGCCTGTTCCTCCAGCTCACACAGTGACTAAGTGTCAAGAATACTGCTTGGCACTGCAGGAGGGGTCAACTGTCCACCAGAGGGAAAGGCCAATGGTGAGAAGTCAGTTCCTGTCCCATAGCCCTGTCCAGCCGCCAAACCCAAGATTCTGAGGGGGCCCTCAGAAGATCTTGAAGCCCTTCAGTAGGGTCAGGGTGGGTGCCTTGCGTTTGCTCTGGGCGCGGGACGACTTCACAGTGACCAGCTTAGCCTGGGCCACAGTGGGCATCTCCTTCAGGCTGACGGTGGAGAGTGTATTGAAGGTGCAGCTGGCCAGCCCGTGCCGGGCAGTGACCGGGGCCTGATGGGGCAGGGCCCTCTCCTCAGAGATGAAGAGGGGCCGGGCCAGGGGACTCTTCTCCAGCTCCCGCCGGGCTTCCCGCACTGCCTCGTGGAAGACGTGCTGCACGTGCTCAAAGTCCAGGCAGGCAGAAACTTCGAAAAACAGGCACCCGAACCTGCCTGCCAAAGCTGCGCCCTCTGCCTTGGTGACCTGCCTGGCAAGGAGAACAGGGCAGGGCAGGGGAGTTAGGAGAATGCCCTTCCAAGTCAGGCGGACCCAGTTCTATAGCTCCCCCACTTAGCAGTTGGATGACCTTGGGTCATATTCATCTCTTGGAGTCTGAGTTTTCTCATCAATAGAAGGGGATGATGACATCTGCCTCAGAGAATTGTGAGGATTAAGGAAGACAATTCGTGTCTAGTGCTTAGCACAGTACGTAGCACAGAGTCAGTGCTCAATAAATGGTGGGTGATGTCACCAGAGCCAGAATTCAAGAATGTGCCTAGGGAAGGAGGAGGAGCTGGCCCCAAGTCTCCCATGCAAGGCCCTCCTATGGCCAGCCTAAGGCCATTTCCAGCCCCATCTCATTCCTGCCATAGCATGGGTCCTTTGGCTGGGAAGTGGGATACCACAGCCCTGGCTTGTGGGATCAGCTCTAGAAAAAAGTAGTTGTTTAGACTGAAGAGAGTTAGACCACAGAGTCTACAGAGGCATGGTAGGCCAAGGTGACTCAGGAAGCTTTTGGTTGGCAGAGTTCTCATGACTTGTGAAGAGTTTTGTCTGTCTTCCCAGGAGATGGGCAGAGGAGCAGACAAGGAGAACAGGGTGATAATACTTCATGAGTGGAGGGGGGAAAGGAGAGAGGGAGTGGCACCTATTCCCAACTTGGTTCTATAACAGCTCCCATGATGGTGGGATAGAATATTTATAACTGAGAATGTTCTGGAAGCTTTCTACCCAAAAGCCATGGGAATTGAGGTGGGAGGAAAGAGAAGCTTGGCTCTTGGGTAGATGAGAAATACAAAGAAGAGAAAAGGCAGGGGTCTCTGGGTCTTGAGGCCAAAATCCTAATAGCTGAATTCTCCTGACCATGACCCACTGCTGAGCTGCCCCAAATGCCACCCATAAGGACAACAACACAGCCCATGAAATGAGAGGAGATGCTAGAATGGGCACTGGTAGGAAAAGTTTTCTCAGCCAAGGTTAATCTGGCAGGGGGCCAAGAGTAGGCTAGCTGCCCAGGTACTACCCCATGGTAGGAGGTGGGGCAAGTGTCCAAAAAAAGGATCAGGGGCAGAGCATCTAATCTACTCCCTACCCACGTCCTGAGGAACCTCTGAAAGAAAACTTGATATTATTTGCTTTTATGATAAACTTGAATCTGTAACCTTGTCACCGTCTTGATGAACGGATTTTCAGAAACAAGCCCTCTCCCCAAGTAGACATGCATGTATGTGAACAGATGACACATGCACACATCATCATCCTTTTTCTTTTCTTATTTTGTTGCTTCTTGTTGTTGTTATGTGCCGTCGAGTCGGCCCTGACTCATAGCGACCCCTCCTTGGGTTTCCAAGGCAGTATCACTACAGAAGTAGGATTGCCCAACCTTCCTTCCGAGGAGTGGCTGGTGGGTTTGAACCACCAGCCTTCTGGTTAGCAGTCAAGTGCCTTAGGCACTATGCTACCAGAGCTTTTTAATCAGCTGTTTGGGAAACACTGATCTAAACCATATTTTACCCTTTTAGCTGCCAAATAATCATAGGACACACTGACCAATACTCGGATAAAATTTAGATTTACTATGTCCATCAACTTCTGATCTACTAACCCTAGAACTTGATAAAAGAAGGGAATGGGGATAAATTGTCATGATTTATTTGTAGTGAACTGATGCTGCTTCTCTTGAGCCCCGTATTCTTTGTTATTTGTTCTCAAACCATTTTTAAACATGCCCTTTGGCAAAGACTGGGGTTACAATCAATGGTCTGTAGTTTTCTCCCCATGTGGAGTCTTCTCACCCCTCCCCCACGCTCTGTGGTTCCTCAAACACCACCTTCGTGGCTTTAAGATCACACTTAGAACATCTTTCATTCCTTGAGATGTAATTTGTCTGGGTCTGAGGCCTTGGCCACCTGTGAAGGCCTTGTACTGTCACCTCACCTTTATGAGACCACCCTTCTCTTTGCCCGTTACCCATCCGACCTGTTCTAAGCAAAGGGTCCTCCTCTTCTAACATGAGTCAACAGGCCTTTGGGGCATGGGATAACAGTAGTGACCAGTCGTGAGCTGGGAGGGTCTTACATGCTAGGCCCTGCCTGCTGTCAGAGGAAGGCCATTCCTAGCCCCATCTTGTCCCCACCACAAGATGGGCCCCTTGCCACACCTCCCAGGTGGATTGGCCACATTGGAGGAATGCCAAAGTCCAGTAGGATTAGCCTTCAAGTGTAATAATTAGTCTCAAATGCCTCAGGGGCAGTAGGGACTTGAATAGTGTAGAGAGGGTAGACAGAAGCAAATCACTGGCAGTGGTGGGGCCTGTGGCCATAAGGAGTGAGCATCCCCCACCTCAAAAACATGCCAGTTCCACATCTTTTAAAACATGGTGCCAGTAGCCAGCTACCCAGAAGAACTGAGCAGTTGAACCTGTGGGCTCGGGACCATAGTCACAGGGGACATCAAGCTCAATTGGCACAACATACTACACAAAACATTATTCCACCTCCTACTTTGGTGAGTAGTGACTGGGATCTTAAAAGCTTGCAAGCAGCCATCTAGATGCAATGATGGGTCTCTCCTCGTCCAAAGCAAAGACGAATGAAGAAAACCAAAGATTCACGGAAAGAATTAGTCCTCATGACTGGTACACCATGAGATCCTCAGCCTATATGACTATGAGACCAGAAGAACTGGATGGTGTCCGGCTACCACTGTCAACCACTTGGAGGGAGATGTATATAGGAGATCCTAGATAGAGAGGGAGAACAAAGTGGAACAAAACTCAGAATCATTTGGAAAAAAAAGAGGGACCAGGTTTGCTAGTCTGATAGAGCCTGATGGAATCCTGAGAGTAGGGCCCCTAGCTGCCCTTCAGGTCTGGATTGAACCCACACCTGTGGCTTCCAGCCAAACAAAAGACAGGCATATGAGTTGAACATTTATCTGAGGTAGATACACTCCTTGGAGAGAACAATCATGGGAGAAAGAAGGGCTGTGTATGCATAGGGAGACAGCTCAGGAGGCAGGAGTGTGTGGAGGGATAGACACAGGGAAGAGGTAACTTATCAGGAGGAAGTGGGAGTGGAGCTGTTGCACTGTGGTAAATTGTAGTCAATGTCATGAGACAAAGTGTATGTGAACTGCTGTATGGGAAGTGAATTTGCTCTGTAAATTCTCACCCAAATCACACACACACACACACAAAACCTATGGTGCCAGCCAAGAAAATATGGCTAGACTGATCTGATAGAGCCTGGTGAGACCCCTGAGACTATGGCCCCAGTTACCCTTTCAGGTCTGGAACTGAACTCACTCCTGTGGTTTCCAGCCAAACAATAGACAGACATATGGGGTAAACATTTACATCAGGTGGATACACTCCTTAGAGCGATCAATCGTGGGAGAACAGATAGGCAGTGTTTGCACAGGGAGACAGCTTAGTCATTGGGGGGAAGGGGACAGGAGTGCATGGGAGGGAAGGACACAAGGAAGAGGTAATTATGGAGAGGAAGCAGAAAGAGAGCTGTTACACTGTGAGGAATTACACTCAATGTCATGAGATAAAATGTGTATGCACTGCTGTATGGAAAGTGAATTTGCTCTGCAAACTTTCACCCAGATCACAATAAAAATTAAAAAAAAAAAAAAGTGGCTACAGCATTCCATAGTAATCCATCTGTGACCTCTGATTTAAACCCAACTCTCTCTAAGGGAAACTTCCTTCAGCACAGCCAATTGTGGTAGATCCTGGGACCATACTTGGCTGAGGTGAGATCTGGATGGACCAGAGTAGACACTTGACCCAAGGGAGCCAATCAGAGTCTTTCTCCCTAGAGCTGGGATTGGGCACTGATGACTGAGTCATCTGCGAGGAGTGGGAATGTAAGGTCACATAGTCTGGCAAGAAAGGATGAGGCCAAGAGAGGCCATAGGGTCCCCTGGGGATGGATGGCGTGGCCTCTCTTCTGACTTCTGGGTTCCTGTGTGACCCAAATGTCCTTCCCTTCCTGTCCTTGGCTGCCTGGAAGACCAAACCATGGTACTCTTACAACCCCCCTTTTACCTGAATTAGAGTAGATTACTGTTCTTAGCAGAGTCCCTGAGTGGTTCAGTTATGTGCTCAACTCCTAGCACTTTGAACCCACCCAGAGGGTGCCTCTGAAGACAGGCCTGGCAAGCTGCTTCCCTACAGAGCAGTCCTGCTTGGCACACATGGGATCATCATGAGCTGGAATTGACTCGACAACAATTAACAACAATAACTGTTCTTAGCAGCTAAATAATCCCTGAAGATGACACCTCCTTTTACAAATGAGGAAAGTGAGCTCCAGGGATGTGGGACCAAGTGCCCAGGCTCACCTATACTGGGCCATGTCCAGCTTGTTGCCCAACAGCACAATGGGGTAGCCACGCTGGGTCTCCTTTGCATGCAGCGCAAGCAGCTCCAGGTAGCTGTTGCTGCCCTCGAAGCTCTGGCGGCTATCGACACTGTACACCACCAAGAAGGCGTGGGCCCAGTTCAGGTAGCGCTCGCAGTTCCGGGGGGTGTCCTGGGGTGAAGGAGGGAAGCTCTAGTCAGGGGCAGAAGAGGTCGAGGTAAAGGCCTCACCTGAGCTGCCCTATCCCACCTCCCCCTTCCGGGGTCTTTGTATATTGTTCCCCAGCAGAGCCCTTCTCAAAGGGGCATTTGAGTATGGACTTGGCTTGGCCTGAAAGGAGACATTGTCTCGTGAACCTCCCTCCCACCACCCAGCCAGGGACTTGGAGACCTTGGCCTGTTAGACACAGAGCCAAAGACTCTGGCATGGCCCCTATGGAGACCTGGCTATCCCTACACACCACTGGTTTGGGGTCAAGTTCATGCTGCCCCTCTGGCTTCTGAGAACAACTAGCATAAAGCCTAGGCTGGGAGTGGTGAAAACACAGAGGAGACGTACGTGTGTGTGTATATGTGTGTGTATGTGTGTGGCAGGGGGATTTTGGCTGAGGTGTGTTCAATACAAGTGTCTGTGTCCATATAAGTGTGCACCTGTCCCCATGGTGTACAAGCACAAAGCACAGGGCATCAGAGCGGGATGCCAGCAATCATCAGGTCTCCCAGCCCCCATGCCACCCCTTCTCATTTGACAAATGAAACGATTCAGGCCAGAGAGGTCAGGGTCACATAGCAAATTGGAGCTTAAAGAGGACATGAATTCCATCTAAGGCCCCCATGCTGGGGCCAAGGCCTGTATGATGGCTGCATTGATTCTCAGCACTCCATGGATAATGTGGTAAGGTTACCGGGTCTGCAGTGTCCATGACCCTCAGGAGGACAGGCTGGTGGTCCACAGTCTCCTCGGAGCTATAGGTATCCTCTGCAACACAGATGTTCATTCAGGTCAGAGGCAGGGCAGGCTATCTTGATGGTGGACTGGGTCTGAGTCCCAGCTTCCCTCTGTGCCAGACCCTGTGGGGCCTTAGGGTGGGAGTCCTTGGAACCTACTCTGGGGCTGGCTGAGCTGGACCAAAAGAAGGGCCTTGTCTTTCATCCACATGGCGGATGTGGTGGGCAGAACTCCCACCAATGTATGCTGCTCCATCTGTCAATGCTCACAGGATTAGAAGTCACTCACAGAACACATTATAGGGCATTGGACTGTGTTCTGGGCTGATGCCACAAAGACAGCAAGATGAAGCATGTGGTGTGTGGACCCAGTAAGTGGTGGAGGCCTCAGTAGCTACACTGCCAGCTTCACATCCTTTCCTCCAACCACAGTGTTTTGCTCACAGGAAGCTCCCAAAGACAACCTTCCTGCCCCAGTGGAGAAGAGACAAGGAAAAAAACAAGTAAACCAGATGGAGGAAGGAGGTCAGATCCCACTTAAAAGTTCCAAGGAGAACATACAAATACTCATTGTCAACATAACAGCAAAAGAGCATGGTTTAGTGCAAAGTTTTCGCTTTGGAGATACAGGATAAAACCCAACCTCAGCCATTTTCTAGCTGTGTGTCTTGGCCAAGTCACTTCATCTTTCTGAGGATCTGTTTCTTCCTTCTAAAATGGGAATAATATGATAACGCTGGCTCACATTTTCAAATCGTTACTCTGTGCCAGACACTGTGGTAAATGCCTGTTAGTGCATTAGCTCCTTCTGTGTGAGGACTGGGTGAAACCCTGGTTAGAGGCTCCAGTAAGTACCTGGAGAACAGTGGGAGGGGCTTAGTGCTGGACAGCTCACAGGGCAGGGTCACGTGCCCAATTAAAATTTTTTTAACTTTTTAGTTTGGAATAATTTTAGAATCCATAGAAACTGCAAAATAGGACACAGAGTTCTATGTACCCTTCACCCAGCTTCCCCTAATGATAACATCTTATATAACCATAGTACAGTGGTCAAAACCAGGAAACTGACATGTTGTTGTTGTTGTTATGTGCCGTCGAGTCACACTCGACTCATAGCGACCCCTCCTTGGGTTTCCGAGGCAGCAGTATCACTATGGAAGTAGAATTGCCCAACCTTCCTTCCGAGGCGTGGCTGGTGGGTTTGAACCGCCAGCCGTCTGGTTAGCAGGCAAGTGTCTTAGCCACTATGCTACCAGAGGAAACTGACATAGGTATCATAATATTAACTGAACTACTGACCTTGTTTGGATTCTTAGTTTTTATATGCATATTCTCTCTCTGGTGTTTTTTTTTTTTTTTTTGGTGTGTGTAAGTTGTTGTGGCCTCGAACATGAGACAGCAGAAGAGGCCAGACATGCACAGAGGCCCTTGCTGTCATCTTGGCAATCATTCTCCCTACTCCCTACCCTGCCCTTGTGCCCTTGACTTTCACTTTTCCCTGGCTGCTCCCTGCCCCAAGTGATCCTGAAGAAGATCCTCTGGACAGAACTGAGGCCCCCTCTGCTTTCCTGGCAGTATTCCACTGTGAGAAAAGCACCCCCCAATCCTGGCTGACTCTGTAGTCAAACACTTCTCTGTGAGGGCCACTGGCAGCCCAGCTGGGCCTGGACACCTTCCAGGTCCTCTAGCACCCAGCATGAATCACAGACAGCTCCTCATCCCCAGCCTACTTTGGGGACTTGGATAAATAGCTGCTCTTATTCAAAGACAACAAATTGAGTAGAAAAAATGCCCCAAATGTTTAACTATATTTGGTTCATGGAGAGTTGCCCCTAGATGCCTACATTGCATTCAGATTTTCTTTATTTTCCTGCCAAAGGCACACCTTTTAGGCACTGTCTTGGTCCCCTCAAAACAAGAGCACCTTTCTCCCCAAACTAGGGAAGAGTGCTAGCCCAACCCTGGTCTCCTGTAGCCTCTTACAGCACAAGAGCCTTTTGAGGTTGCTGTTAGCCTCATTGTGAAGAGATGACAAGGAGAGGCTCAGAGAGGGAAGGAACTAGCTCAAGGTCACACAGTACCCTATCAGCAGAAGGAACTTGAATTTGGATCTTATAGGCTTGGCTGTCTCCCCATTGGCTGATCAACCAATCCTCCAGCTTTTTCTAGGCAGAGTCCAGAGCTGAAGAACAGCCTCAAGAGAGACCAAAGCTTCCAGTCCAGCTGGGGAGGTGAGATGCATACAGGTGAGCTGGAAGTGGCCTCAGCAGTCATCTTGTCCAACCTTCCACATTACAGGTGAGATGACTGTCCTCAGAGGCCAGAGAAGGGGAGGCACTTTTCCAAGTCACGTAGCAGGGTGGTAGCAGAGCCAGAGTTTAATGTCCAGTCTTCCCATTGTCAAGCGTCTGCCCTTTGGAGACTCTGGTGTCCTTAAAGCTATGGGCTTCATAGCTTCTAGCTCTAAATAATATTCTGTGGACTCTAACAGTGAGAGAGGGGGGCTCTTGGGACCTGCTCTGGGGCCGGCTGAGCTGAGACCAATGGAAGGGTCTTATCTCTCACCCACATGGAGGATGTGAGCAGAATCTCTCACCAAGAAATGTTCACAGTATCAGAGGCCAAGCCAGGTGGGCTACCCCAGTCCCTCCATGAGAGCAGAATGTTCTCCTGGAGAGCCCCATCTCCTTTAGTGGAGGGACGTGGTCACCACAAGCAAAGCCCATTCACAGGCACTGGATCTCTCAGCTCCGACCATCTCTTAACAGTCGTGATCCATAACAAGGCAACCCTCCTGCAGACAGTACACAGTCAGTCTCATCTTCCACATGGGGAAAGTCAGGCTTAGAGAGCCCGGTGCCACACAGGCCTCTGACTCCATGTCCTCTATGGCATAAGGCTGCCCCTAGTAGAGGGCAACTGGAGTGAGCAGTAGCTCCTCCTCCTTTACACCTGAGGTTCTATGTGATCTTAGGGAAACAGCACTCTCTGCTTCAGTTTCTCCACCTCTATGATGGGAGTCATGATAGGAATTCTTCTTTAAAGGGTAACCCTAAAACCAAAATTTAGTCTTGTGGTTTAGAGCATCTATGTTGTGCTTAGTACTGTACCACATGCTGGAATGGGAATGAATAAGACAGGTCTCTAACCTCAAGGAGCTCCCCATATGAACTCAAGCTCTTGGAAGAACTTTGAAAAGGATAAAGAGCTATCTTAGCAACATCTGCCTGATGGCTAACTCTTCCCCTGACCATTCAGATTTTTCTCCACAGAAGGAAAGGGTCTGGTCACAGTCATCTGTTGTTGCTAGAACCATCTATGGGGAAGTAGTCAGAATGTTCAGGCCCTTCCCACTAGGACAGAAGCCCTGAGGAGAGGCACTGGCCTCCCAGAATGTCTTGGGGAGGCTGTCTGGTCATCCAGCCTATAGGCTCTCAGAATGGGGGACCAAAGGCCAAGGTGCTTAACCACTGAGAACTGTTGCCCACCTCCCTGACAGTGTGACCACCCATTCCACTGCCAGGTTAGAATGCCAAAATTACCCAGCCAGGAAGCTCAAAACAACACTGTAACAGGCTCTTCTCTCTGGTGGGACCCTGTGTGAAGGGTGTGGATTAGGAGTGCAGGAAGAGAGACTTGAGGGGGGTTGCCAGATGAAATATAAGATGCCCAGTTAAATTTCAATTTCAGAATTGAAAATAAAAAATCTCACTGCTGTTGAGTCAGATCCGACTCATAGCGACTCCTTGGGTTTCTGAGGCAGTATCACTACAGAAATAGATTGTCCAACCTTCCTTTCAAGGAGTGGCTGGTGGGTTTGAACTGCTAGCCTTCTGGTTAGCAGTCAAGTGCCTTAGGCACTATGCCTCCAGCCCTCCCTTGAATTTCAGATAGGCAACAAATAATTTTAAGTATAACTATGTCCCAAGCATATTGGAACTAGGCACATAACAACAACAACATTGTTTGGTTTAAAGATAACTTCAAGGGCACTCTCTTTGGGAATGCTCCCTTTCCTTTCCCAAACACTTCTTCCCAGTCCCTCCACCTCACTCCTTCAATTCTGTCACCCCATCTCTTGAGTCCATGCTCTGGCTTCTCCCAGCATCTCCCCTCAGCCAGTACACAATCCATCCTGTGTTCCACTCCCTCAGGGTGCTGACCTCTGCTAATCAAATGAGCTCCCCTCAGACCCACTGGTGACCTTGGCCAAGAGGCCCCAGCTCCCTGGACCCATTTACTCCACTATAGCACAGAGGTGATTAAACCAGAGCTGCTAGGGACAACCCCTAGGGGTGTTAGCCTATTGCCTGCCCTGTACCCTTGACTTAACCAGGGAACCTCTTTGCTTTCTCTGGGATTCTGTTTAGGATCTCCTTGGAAGAAAGGATTCTGCTACTTCAGGAAAAAATTCTAAAAACCATAGGATTAAATAACCCTGACATTCCTTATAACTCTGACACTGGGATTCGATATACCTGCCTGAACTGATGGGCTCAGAGGCACCAATGGATTAAGGAGCCCTTTCCTCAGGGTGTTGTTGCTACACCTCATCAGAGCCTGCTGCAAGAGCCTCAGAAGGCTTAGAAGGCTCTTGAAGGTCCCATAAATGCTTTATTAAATTTTTTGAACAGGGAAAATAATCCAAAACTTTTCAAAAATCCAAGATTTTCAAAAAGCCTAAGATCATACTACTAAGTGAGAGAAGCTAGTCCAAAAAAAGCTACATAGTATGTAACTCAACTATGTGACATTCTGGAAAAAACAAAACTACAGATAGGGAAAAGATCAGTGGTTGCCAGGGAGTCAGGGGGAAGAGGGAGGGGTCCATAGTTAGAGCACGGCATTTTTAGGGCAGTGAAATTATTCTGTATGATGTGTGATAGTGGGCATATGACAGTACACATTTGTCAAAATCCATAGGATGGTACACCACGTAGAGTGAACCCTAATATAAACTAGGGGCTGTAGTTAACAACAATAAATTAATATTGGGAAAAAAAAACCAAGTAAGTATTAGTTCATCAATTTTAACAAATGTATCACAGGAACATGAGATGTTAACAGGAGAAGTAAAGTGCAGATGGTGGGGGCATATGGAAGCTCTCTGTACAATTTTTTTGTAAACCTAAAACTGTTCTAAAAGAAAAAGACTATTTAACCAAAAAAAAAAAAAAAAGGAAAAGAAAAATCACCGAGACATCCCATCATTCTAGTGCACAGTTTATAATTAGCAAGTATTTAAAAATAGGAACTCTACATTTTTACTAATAAAAGTATGCATTTATTTGTTTTAGATCCTGAGGTTCTACATAAGAGGTTATTCGTGGTAAAATTCTTGCTGGCAAAAACCATTTTTAAAAACCTGAATAATTTGATTACTCTGAAAGAATATCAGCTATGGGAAGCCATTGGACGAGGAAGGAGAAGAAAGGGGAAGAGGCTATGCATTGACTACTGTGGATTAAGTGATGTGCTGGATCTTTTACTCATAGTGATTCACTAAGATAGGTACTTTTATGCCCATTTGATAGATGAGGAAATAAATAGCAGCTCAGAGGGACCAGGTAACTGGCTCAGCATGGCATACCTAATAAATGGCAGAGCCAGGATTCAAACACCAAGGCATCTCTTCCCAATATACCATGATATAGTAATAAACTTAAACCAGTTTTCTCATGCGGTTCAAAAACAGGTTCAGGATCAAACATTCTATAGGAGAATCCTGATCAAAAGAGATGGAGAATGTAGAACAGAATTTCAAATTCTCATGGAATCCAGACTTTCTGGAGCCTAACAAGTCTAGATGACACCCCCCCCCCAACTATTGTCCTGAGGAAATTTTAAACCTTAAACTGAAACTATCCCTTGAAGTCATCTTTAAACCAAACAATGTTGTTGTTGTTATGTGCCGTCAAGTCGGACCCGACTCATAGCGACCCCTCCTTGGGTTTCCGAGGCAGTATCACTACGGAAGTAGATTGCCCAACCTTCCTTCTGAGGAGTGGCTGGTGGGTTTGAACTGCCAGCCTTCTAGTTAGCAATCAAATGCCTTAGGCACTATGCTACCAGAGCTTAATTAGTAAACAATGTTTGCCTAGAGTACCTTGCTTTCTAAAAGATTTACATATATGTGATCAAATTGACAATAGTAACTTGAAAGGGCAGATAATAAGCTTAGGGTGCAGTGAGTTCAAGTTAATGGCATTGAAATAATTTGGAAAAGAAAATTGAGAAAGGTGATACAACTTGAAGAAAGCATCAATGTCACTAAATTGTTGAATTGGTATATGTTTTGCTGTATATATTTTTACCAGGAAAAAAAAGAAAAAACATAAAAACATAATCAAAACCTGGTTCAGAAGGTAGCACCACTAGAGAAATTTCTCAAAATGTCCAGCTTTTCTGGAAACACGCAGACTTAAAAAAAAAAAGTGACTACTTTGAAGAACAATAGCTAATTACATGTGGGTGTTCTGTTATATTAGGTTTTCTTTTTTTTTTAACAGTCTCATCAGTCCTTCAATTTTAGGGCTAATCGACCTCTCTCAGTACCCCTAATTGGACCAACCCCTAAGGTGTCTGGGGAGGACTGTGGAAGGATACATTCCTGGTACTTAAAACATTTTCCCCACAGGATGAGTCATCCTGGCAACTTCTCCCTTCTGTCCTCCTTCCCAATGGACAATCTTGGACAAACCTGGGCCCACTAACAGAGTAGATAGCAGGAGAGTACTCGGAGAGGGTAGAGAGGAATGGGGAGGAGTGGGTCCTTACCCAAGTTTGGGTCATATTCGCTGATAAACCTCTTGGTCAGAAACTTCACAGTCAGGGCTGGAAGAAGCAGAAAGAGGTTGGCTCAGTCTTCCCTGCCATGTCTAGCTGTCATTTCCCACTCCCCACCCCTTCCTTGTTTGAGTGAGGCCTCATCTAACCTCTGTAACTCCTGGGAGTTGGTTTAAGAGGCCACAAAGAAACCAGAAATATGGGGAGCCCTGTGCCTCCAGTTGCCCTGGGAACTCTTCTGTGTACGTGTGAAAACAAAAGCTAAGAGAGGAAAGCCTAATGAATGTTTGTGAAGTCCCAAGCTAAGGGGTCAGTCAGCACCCACACAGTCAGTTATCTAATTCATACTGGTAAAAACTTCAGCTGAAGGAGGACATCCCCTACCCTGGACAAACAATGAAGATTCTGAAGCCTAGGGGATTTGTTCCAGCTTTGGCTACAAGCCCAAGGGAGTGTAAGAGCAGAGTTGATGGGTAGGTGATTCCCTGGGAGAGGTATGAGCCCCTCAAGTGCCTAGAATTTCCAGGCAAGGTCCAGGCGAGATCTGTGCCCCAAGCAAACACACTCTCATCCTCAGGTCTCCATGTCTCAGGTCCTGGCTCACTCCAGGGCCTCCGCAGTTCTCATGAGTGTCTTGGAAGAATGTAAAGCTCTAAGAATAAAGTTCTCCCCAAGTGAGATGCATTAACAGCATTCTGATTTTATTCTGAATTTAGCTGTATAAAGCCAACCATTATGCTGGCCTTTAAAGAGTAATGTGATATTTTAAAGAAAATCTTTAAAATTCTTTCCCAGGATTCCTAACTATGTCAGTTTGCAAAACTAATACCCAGGGAATACATATTTTAAATTTAAAATTCCTTCATTCATGTAGTCACTGGTTAAACCATCCCAGTGACTCAGCTATGGACAACAATTCGATATTTAAAGGGAAGAGGTCAAAATCTTTTCTGGAGGAAAATGAGATTCAGAGTCGAGTCCCTTCTCTGAGCTAAAGGAGCTCTCGTGGTGCAGGGCTAAGGCATCTGACTGCTAACCAGAAGGCTAGCAGTTCAAACCCACCAGATACTCCACAGAAGGAAGACTGGGCAATCTACTTCGGTAAAGATTTACTGCCTCAGAAACCCAGTGGAGGTCGCTATGAGTTGGAATCTACTCCGTGGAAGTGAGTTTGGTTTTTTTGGTCTCTGAGCTAGGGGTCTGGCTTCAAACGTGGGAGAGTAGGTAGTTCTCCAGAGCGTCCTAGGGAACACTCTGGGGAAGGAAACCCACAGCTAAGCCCACAGCCCATGTTGGCCTCGAATTAATGGCTGTAAATGGAAAAACAGCCAGTGAAGAAGCCACCCCTCTCCCCTCTCACTTTCAGATGTCTGGAACTAGGAGCTGGGGGAGGGGACTCCCTCCAGAATCTGTGTCTACAGTGACCCCACCAGCACCCCCACCCAGGCTTCATTTGGGTGAAAACTGTCAGAAGTGGTGAAGACATAGTTCAGTGTTAACAGAAATTACCGGAGCCTGAGATCTTGGTTCATTAAGGACAAGTCTCAGGCACCTAGGACCTGTTTGTGTTTCCAGAAAGTCAAGAGAGGGTTCTTGCTTAAAAGAAATGCATCAGGATTTGCACAGTTTGTCCCAAAAGCCCAGGCTATTGGGATGGTGAGTGTGAGAGTGGCCCCTCCCTTGGAAATACAAATATTCAATGTCTTCTACCTTCACCCTTCAGTGGTCAGGGTGGTCTTCCTTCACCCCCACCTAAACCAGGGAGCAGCAAGTCTGGCACTAAGTGGAAACTGGGGCCCTAGGCTAGGGATCAGCCACCTAACAAATCCCTTTTGCTGGCCCCAGGGAGAGCAGGTGAGGTAGGAAGTAGCTAGGGAGAGGCCAATAGAGGACTGGAGAGACAGAGAGACAGAGGGGAGAGATAGGCAGAGAATACAGACAAGGAGGCAGAGACATGGAGGAACACACTGGGAAGAAACAGGCTAGGAACAGAGTATAGACGAAGAGGTGGAAGAGCAGAGAACAAAACAGAGAGAACAGAGAACCCAGCAACTGAGAAACAGGGGGCAAAAAAGAAAATGACGGTGTCTCTCCCAATTCACCTGGATGTAGAAGGCCCCAAAGTCAGTAGAAGAACCTGCCCCCAAGTCTACAGCAACCTGTCCCCTCCATCCGCTTCCCGCTTTTCGGGTCCTCGCCTAGTCCTTTCCCTTTCTCTGTCCCCAGCCCCACTCACCGGACTTGCCAGCCCCGCGGCGCCCCAAGATGGCCAGGTTGACTTCTGGGGGTGCGCTCTGTGGCCCGCCGCCCGCGCGGGGTTTCCCGAACACCGAGGACATGGTGACGCTGAGGACAGAGACACGAGGTCCTGGGCCGTAGGGTCCCCCAGCGGCGCGCCTGCCCGTCGGGGCCCTCGGGAGCGGGCTCCCCTGGCACTTGTGGCTGGGTCCCGTTGGTCTCGGCGCCCGGGCCCCGAGCCGAGCGAGCGGGCTGCGTTAGTTCCAGGGCCTGCCGGGCAGGAGGAGGGGCCGCGGGGCCCGGCGGGCAGGACCGCCCCAGCGCCGCCACTCTCCT